TATATATATATATATATATATATATAAAGACAATTTTATGAAGCAGTGACGGATTTCAATTTCGATCCTTAAATTCCTTCAACAACACTAATAAAAAACCATTGAAAAATAATCAAGCTTTAAAAATTCAGATTGCTTCAAAATTCAGGGAATCAATAGAGGGTAATTCTTTTTTTTTTTTTTTTTTTTGAGGATTTCAACGCAAGATAACAAGACCTAATATAGTGCTTTATTTAATTTTAAAGCGTTGAAATATACCGCTCTTTTGAGAACAAACCACAATTCTTTCCGAACGCCTTGAATGTGTTATGGTCGCCATGGGATATTTATAACCTGTTTAAGTTATCGAAATTAGATTATTGGTATTCATGATAGTCTTCCTCGAACTAAAATTCATTCGAAAAGATATATGGCAAAGAATAGCTGTATGATCTTGAAAAAGAAATTCTCTATTTTTAATAAATTAGGGGAGTACCCCTGTCCGCCCAACGGCGGACCAACCCCCATTATAGAAGTTATACAACTGTTCATTCAATCGTACTACTCGTTGCTCAAATTTTATAACTTTAATTTACCTATATTTCGTAGTTCAGATTCTATTATTTTTTATCAACATAAAATAAACTGAACGAAACGACAGTTCGGACAAATTTTAAATTATTTTCAAAACAAACATTATACAACGAGGCTTATTGCCAATTTGTAAACATGATATCTATTCAGCTTGTCCAGTTTCATATAAGCCAAACATCAATTTGAGCCATTTATTTCTAATATTTTTATTGCACGTTATACTGTGCATCCATTTCTATTTCATAATCATTACAATTATATCACGATATAATATAAATAATATTATATATAAAAAAACAATCAATATATTCACGGAGTAATGTTTAGATCGAAAAATAATTTCTGTTAGCTAAGTAAAATCAAACCACCACCTCCAGATGAATACTATTTCCAAAATGTTTGATATAAAATTTTTATTTTGTGTTAGGACAATAGGAGGTTACAGGAGCTCAACACATATGCACTTAAATGGACAGCTGTATAATTAGTGCTAATTATAGAGCTGATAGGAGAGTTCCTGTAATATTCTACTCTCCTGAATAAAATGAAATATGAAATTCACGGCTTCTATACCTCAATATTATACTTCTATGTCCTTAGTAAGAGATAGAAAAACAAACCAGGGTGCTTCTGCACCAAACAAATAGATATTGATCTAGTACAATAATGGATTACTATAACTTCAGGGATAGCTGTGTCTTATTACTTAACTATTAAACTGGATTCTTCAGTGGGGCAACTTATTAAGTAAATAGTTAAAATAAGATCCGTGGTAAAGTATGAAGCTCCACCAATTCTGTACCTTGAACAGAATATCATGATAATATTATGGTGTATATAGAAATAAAGATATTTCTACGATGTCTCTTATACGACGAATGATGGAAGAGAGAGATGGAAAGTTTTCACTGGGGTAAACTAGTTATGATCAGTATATATTATAGTTTGAGAAAATGGGCTATAAAATGCTAGTTGTGAAGTACACTCTAGCAAGAGAAGATGTAAGGCGGATAGAAATGAGACGAGCTTGTGGTTGACACGAGAGATTGAAGGCTGTAACTGCATTCGCGTGCCACAACCGCCATAATTGTGGCAATTCACATTTCTCCTGTCTTTTTCGTTATGCCTTCCCCTTCGTCGCTCCTTCCTAATAATTTCCTTTTTCAGCTACTTGATCTTTGATACCAGCTATAGAATGGGTATACTTATCTTAGCGCATTTGACATTAAAATATAAGGAGACAGCAAAAGCAGTAGGACGATTAAAATTAATTTTAGAGTATTTCATATATAGGTATACTTGTATCTAAGATATTTATTTTACTTTAAGTATATTTTATTTTTATTTATAAGTATATATACATACATATATATTTCTTTCTTTTTTTCTCTCTTTTATTTTGTTCTTATTTCTTTCGTTATTACTTTCTTTATTTATGTTTGTGTATATACCGTGTGAATATGCTCTCTAAACTCTATAATAAGTGTCCTTAACAGAGACAGATTGTAATATTTCTCAATAAAAAAGGTATAAAAAAAAATTCAAAGAAATTGAAAACCGTTTAATTTTCTAAAATCATTGCGTAGAAACTTATTCTTTATTGCTTTGAATTATATTTCGTCCTACCATACTTGTAAAATCAATTATTATCATAATCAATGATATAGAATTTATAACTAAATAACAAAATGAACAAAACTCTGTAATACATAATAATAACAAGATTTCAGTTTTTAGAATGTAAGTGTGAATAGAGAAGTTTCAATTTACTTCTTATTGCTTACGAGGTATTTATTGTAATTATGTAGATTATATAATATAAGCAGTATGAATAATTTATAGAATATGATATCGACAACTTTCTTGTTTTAATCTTTACTTTTGCCTATTTATACTGATTATGTTAGTGTGTACTAAATAACACGACCCAAATACTACAAGGATTTTTAGATGTGATACAAGAAATTCATGCTTATTAAGAAACATAATCAAGCTTCAAGAGAAGAATAGAAAAAAAAAACAATCATCGACGCAAGAAAAGAAACAGGAGAAAACAAAAAGATCGAGGAGTTCTAATAAGTGCAAGAGCACGGATGGATCACTGTTAAAAAAAGGAAATACAGGTACTAGGAAAAAAGAATAATCAATTCAAACACTATCACTATAAAAATCAGGCAAAGGAGGCTTAAAAGACAAAAAAAAATAATGTATACAAACATCTGAATATTAGCTCGAGACTCCCAGACGAAGATTAATCGAACGAAGCGATTGCCAAGTTAAACAACCAACCTAGGACAAACTATTCATCACATTATTCGAGAAAGGGAAAGATTAACTCTTCCAACCATTACACAATCTTGTTGTAATGGTCAGTACTAAAGAAACCATACCGAAAGGTGGGAAAAAGATAGAATACATAGATACAAGAAAGGAGACCCTTTTAGAATACAATAATTCTGGAATATATTTTTAGAATGATTGCTGTATCATGTTGAGAGCGTCAAACATTTGAACAAAACATTACATTTTTCGATTGATATGAACATTTGTATTTACGTATTTTTCGAGGTACAAAAAACGAATATGAACTTCCACTGTATAAAATAAATAAATAAAAAGAGACGGAATGTGTTTCTCATATGAACGTATATTTTTAATACCTCTAGGGCGCTTTGACAAGAAAAATATGACAGGTATTTGATATTTTTTGATCAAGTGCCACCAAAACATTTTTATTTCAATCAGTGATCCCTCATCCGTAATATTTCCTTGTCAGAAGTAAAACAATTCGAAAACACTTGTCTGCTCACTTATATAACGTACAAAACATAATGTTTTACCGGTGATTAATAATATTAAAAGATTTAATTAAAATCTTCAGCCAAATACTTGTCCCAATTTAGCCCCGTCAAAAGTAACAATTAATCGACACAGAAGGTGGGTAGAGATGCTACGCCGATTGAGGAGCTGATATTGGAAATGTTGAATTAATTAGTTTAACAAGTATTCAAGTTGTTGCAGCTCATAATAAACTAATTTGAGCCGAAATCAATATGATAGATTGCATTCAATAAGGTTCTGATTAGTCCCATTCAACTAATCTCTAATTACTGCCTCAAACTAATAACTGCTTTGTTGTTGAGTTATAGACCAAATAATTGCCGTACGTTTCTGTTGTGGTTGGAATTGATTAATTACAAGCAAGAGAAAAGCAATATTGAAACGCCCAGCTTATTGTAGACCTGTTCCAATAATTAATAAAACTCTTTTTTAAGAAAAATTGGAATATCAGGATGGAACTTAATTAATCTTAAACGAGGATGTATTAAGCGTCGATTTATTTTTTGGTTGATTATTTTTATAGGTGAACCGTTGTAATAGACCAAGAAAAAATAAAGTTAACCCACTCCCATCGCATAAAATTTGAGCTTTTACGTTTCAAGATACGTAGAATACGAAATTCTAATACTACCATTCGACATTTCCATCCAAGAAGGCGACCAAAAAACCTGTGTCGCTAAATATCGCAGATGCCTAAACGAATGTAATAATTAAAACGAAACTTAGCTAAAGTATACTCCTCAAAGCCCTTTAAATTTATGTATATAACATACTTTCTCCCAAAAAGCTGAAAAAAAAGTAACGAGGGATGTAAAATTAGATTTTCGAATAATTCAAAAAGTAAAAACTTTTTTGATAATCTTGTAAAAATCTTGCTTGTTTGATGGTTAACGAATTTTTCTAAAAAAAAAAATCATTGAAATTAGGCAACGTTTTAAACATTTTCCATGTTCTTCTTCAAAGCCAATCTGTTTTGATCATCACCTCAATCAATCGACACTGTTGTCTATATTGCTTGATAAATGATAAAAAATAAACGAAAAATTCTTATGCAGGCCAATAATATTAGCAAACAACAACTTTTAATTACTGCCTCAATTACAATCGATTGTATACGGCAAAGTTTGATTGAATTGGTCCCAACTACACTTGTGAATTAGAACTAACGTAATCATAATAATAATAATAAAAATAAATATTTATTATTATAAAATTGGATGGTCCACGTTGCATCCTTGTCTTATAGGTTATAAAAGGTTTTGGGAATCAAAATTTATTTAATTTATGGTTCTACCTACAAGTTCCACATGTGGTCAAATGTTGTGAATGTGTTAAATACTTTCGTATTTTTGATTTCTTGCAGTGATTTTTCATTGTTTTGTATCTTGTTGATTAAGCCCTGAGTTGTGAAGTAGTTCGCAACGTAGGTTTCAATAAATCGTTTGCATAGTAATAAATTTTTGTTTTGGCATATCTTCTCCCGTTACATACACGATCAATTAATAAATATGGCAATATTATCAAGGAGCTTTGCTGCTTTTCGGAAACTTTTGAACGGTCACGCTCACTTTAACGCCCAGTACGCCATGATTGGCCGTTCCTTTACTCCAGTGATTTCCTGTAAATTAATTGGCCTTAGAGAGGCTCTGGCTATGGCTATGAACATTGGCGGCATTAGCCGTGATAATAGTGGAGCGGTGGAGCACGGGCAGCTATCGGCTATAGACCACCGTCGCGGCCGGTTATGGCCGCTAATTCCGACCGCTCTACTGCTAACGGTCTCATCAAGTCTATTACCACTCTTCAGGAAGGTCAGCTTCACTTGTGTTAATTGCACTGAATTGGAGCGCTTGGCAATCGCTGGCCCTCTTATTGTTATGTCACAGTAACTGCTTTATTGCCAGTAACTGCCGAGTCCTTGAGGACCCTTCGGTATTATCAAAGGCTCGGCAACTTTGGTTTGCTTCGGTTCGTGTTTCGTCCTGTGGTGCGTGGTTCTTTCTTAATTCATTACAATTAATTAAGTATGTGATTCATTGTTAATCGAATCCAGGACAATTAATTATACAGCCATCAGCGAAATCCGACTGACGGATTTTTCATTTTTTTATATGAATGTTATACCACCGTATAATATATAATGTAGAATGAAGCGAAGAATAGTTGGGGTGGTCAGTCAAATAAGAAGGCAAAAATAAATGATGATATTAATTGGGGGAATTATTAACGATAATATCATTATCATTTATTTTTGACTGATCACCCCAACTGTTCTTCTCTTCATTATTCACGACATTCAACCATTTACCCACCATTAATATATAATGTAGATAGGGCCACTCTAAAAATTAGATGATATATACGAAAATCATTAAAATATACAAAAAATATTTTTGTCTTTTACTCTAGTTTTAATAAACCTTGAGATAAAAAGTTCGTCACATTAAATACTACTAGTTGGCCCGAGCGAATAGTTCTCAGGATATATTGCTTAGTAAAGGAATGGCAAAGTAATATGTAACCAAGTCGACACTACGAATTATCGGAGGAGCAATAAAAAATTGTTACAAAAAAACTAAAAATTGGATATATGTCCTATAGGAAATAATAAAGTATGTAACAGTAAGGAAAAAAATGGTAGCATAGTAGGAAAGGCAGTCAGTATACTTTAAGAGGACAAAGTTATTATGTATACCAACTCTGATATATAATAAACTGCATTTTTTTTAATGATCGTCCCAATTTTACGCTTTGTTTTTTGTTTTGAAGGTAATTTAGTAATATTTCTAATAATCATGAATAGATTAAAAAAAAAAATGCATACTTAATGCATACATAAATTTCACTAAGTCATTGTTCTTCAAAACTGTATAAATAACTTTTTCATTTAACACTTCCATAAGAAAAAAATAAATTAAACTCCTAACAGGTGTTTATTTTATAATCAGTTCTAAAATATTTAGAAGAGGTTTGTATCATTCCGTGCAGTTTATAAGGCCCTAAATCCCTGCTAAATTTCGTGTGGATAGGTGGAAGGATATTGAAGTTATCAAACGTTTTGTGATTATCGAGAAAAAAAATCTAAGCGAGAGCTTTTTTGTTTGTCTTCAATTTGTAGAAAAAGAAAATTTATTTTTCGATTGCTATGAATCGTATATGGTCTTTCGTGCCGCGAAATACAAATCTCAACTCTGTTTCTCCTTAAAAAATATTTGAACACACTTTGCTCCTACGGTCAAAATAAATTAATTAAAATTGGATTAATTAAAGTTTCTAACCGATTTCCATAATTTTTTATACATTTTAAAGGTAATTTAGTAGTCTTTCTATGGGTACAATACAGAAAAAAAAAAAGTATTCTTTTAGGGTTATTCACAAATAAAGTTTCTTTTCCTTGATAACATTTTTCTCTTAAATTTCGAGGGGATGTGACTATGTTTTCGATCTGAAGGAGAAGATATTTAAAATAATTAAGGCTCAGTAAATGGATTTGATGAAGAATTGACGAAGTTATGGCGTTGCGATAAAAAATAAATAAAATAAAAAATAAAATGTATAAAGATAATTACAATATTTTTTATAATGCATTATTCATAATCCAAATTATGAAGCTATGATTCTCAAACATACAGGGGAAAAATTAATCCGTCAACGTTTCGCTGATTCAGGCATTATCAGGACAGAGAAAACAAAATCACATATGTGCAGAAAGAAAAAAACAAAATTGAACAGAAAAAAAATATGGTTTTTATAGTGTCAAAATTAATAATAATTACGTTAGTAAACACATGTTTGTCTATCCTTTCCACTGATTTATGAAAGAAGCGTTGACTAAGAGATATTTATTATTTTTACATTTTTAACCGTAGAGTACATAAATAAAAACGTATTGAAAGTGAAAATAAATTTAATAATACAACAGAAGTCAATGGAACTAAATTTACCGTAACATGGATATCATGGAATTATTAGGAAGAGGGAGGAAGAGTGGAATGATACAAAGGAAGGAGGAATGACAAAGCTAATTTCCATACAAACTGCAGGAGGGGATCACCTTATTAGGGAGCCGAATTTTCCAAGAACATGACGATGGAATCCTGGAATGAAGTAGATGAGGATTCCTGGACTGCTTCCAAGGCTGCATCACATACCGATGAACTAGTCCTCCTTTTTATTTTTCTTTTTTTTCTTTCTCTTTTACCATATTATTCCAATCTTTTTCTTGCCAGGCATATAATATATCCCATCTTAACGATACCTTGGACTGGAGAGAATCCCCAAGGGACACATAAAAGTTATATACATTAATATATTTATCACGAGAAAATTAGAAATTCAGATGTTTTGGGAGGAAATAAAATGAGGTAATATCTGCATTTCGGAGGACTTTTATAGCTAGTAAAAAAAATCCGATTAATGAAATGAGATTAGCAACTTAATTACTCTGCCTTAGCTGAATAATTTGCAGACTACAAGCATGAATTATTGAAATAAAGCTTTTTTGATTAAAAAAAGAAAAAAGGCAAATGATTAACGAATAAATTCCAACACTCTTATAAATAATAAACAAGAAGAAAGAATAAGTGTAACAAATGATTAAGAAGAAGTAACGAATCTGAGATCTGAGGCCGATGCCAATCGTAGTAATATAGTAAAAAAAAATCTAGATCTGTTCAAATAGTTATGTTAATAAAAGTAAAATTTGATATTAATGAGTTATTTAACTTGGATGAATATATATATATATATATATATATATATATATATATATATATATATATATATATATATATATATATATATATATATATATAAGTTAAGCGTCGTCGGACTTAGAAAACAAAAAAAAAGAAGGAAAAGGGAAAAGATGTAACATACACGACTTCTGAAATAACACTGCTTTATTCGTTCCATAAGCCTCCTTATATACACTTAGCCTGTTTATTTACATTACCAGATAGTATTAAGGCTGATACCGCCAGTCTCCGGTCTTTATCTCCCCCCCACCAGTTTACGAACAGGATTTTCGGAAACTTAAATATTGCTAGATCGGAGCCCACGGTGACCAGCCTTAACACTTTACAATTGGTTTTACAGTATATCCTTAAAAGAAAATAAAATAGTTCCACTCAACTGGAAAAATATTAAATACAGAAGAAATAATTAAAAACACTGAAACTAAACACAGCACTTTAGAACTCCTACCACTTGAGAACTCCTAACAACAACAAAAAAAAACACAATTTCCTCTATACATGAAATAATACAACAAAAAAAAACAAAAAAAAAATCTTTTACAACTTGTTTTGTTTTGACAGCCACAAAAAAAACATATTCCTCTGTTTTATCTACAGCGGTGAGGGTACTACGAATCCATAGGTCTATGTCCCGACTCTATCATTGGGAGCTTTAATTGTTCGATATGAACGGTTCTCCTCTTTCTGGGCTCATTCACGCTCTCAATAGTTACCAGGTTATGCTCCCTAATAACAACCACTCTGAATGGACCCTCGTACCGTAGCAATTGTTTCCCTCTGTTGGTTCCCAATTTCCGGTAAACTATTGTTCCTATTTTTAGTTCCCCCATTTGGTCGCGAACTTGTACATTCTGCCTTTCCACCCGCTTCTGCTTTTCCCGCTTAATTCTCGCCGTTATCTTTCCCCATGTTTTCTCTACCTCTACCCTATTGCTGAGAATTTGATCCACTAACGGTTCGGTAAGCGTAGTTTCCCCATAATCCCGCCTTGGCCTGCGCATCCCGAATAGAACTTCCATGGGTGAAAACCCCGTTACGGAGTGGATCGAGTGGTTATAGGCTGTTACCGCTTTCCTCATTGCCACATCCGGCTCCAACCCTTTTTCACCCTGATATACACGGACGTGGTCGCTTAACGTACTGTGCAGCCGTTCAATACCGCCTCTACCTTTAGGATGTCCTGGGGTGTTATAATGCCACGCAATTTCCAATCGCTTCACCTCCTCCCTAATCGCGGCATTGTCGAACTCCCTACCACCGTCCGAAGTAATCCTCTCGGGGACCCCATAGAACTGCACCCAGGTTTGTAGGGCTTCCGCAACTGCATTGGCTGACTTCTCCATCACTTGGTATGCCATCGCCACCTTGCTGAATATGTCGATTACCGTGACCCACTTAAACCCTTTCCAGGTAAACGTGTCAATCTGAAGGTCCTGTAGCGGCATATTCCCTGTAGGTGTCTCCTCCTGAACTCCTCTGGGGGGGTGTCGATCGTATTTTGTGCGCATGCATATCTCGCATTTCCCAATGACTTCCTGGATGGACCTCTTCATGCCCCACCAGAAATACTTCCGACGCAATGCCTGCAGCGTCTCATTAACGCCTCGGTGATTGGTTTTCCCCTGGTGATATGCTACTGTGATTGCTTGCTGCTGCTCTTCGTCCTGTACCGTCTCCACAGCATACTTACACCGGATGAATGTCCTGTCCACGCCTATTCGCTCGGACCTCCACATTCGCTTGATCTTATCCCATACCGTATTGTTTCCTACGTATAGGTAGTGCGTTTTACCCGCTTCCGAGGCATCCCTCAGTGCCGTACAGATTTGTTCTTCGCTGACCCCGGGCTGCGACCAAATGACGCGGATCCTACTTCTCCCGTACCTTCTGAAATCGATCTTCATGATTCCGGTTGTTCGTGTCTTCCAAATCACCTGACGGTGTTTGTCGTTCACGATCTCCTCTATTTCTTCCATCTCCGCTGCCCTTTCCTCCGCTGAGCTCTCCTCTTCTGGGGAATCTCCCCTGTCCTCAATCCCTGCGGTGTCATTTGCCCCTTCGCCATCGGGAGTCCATTCCCTCAAGAATTGGCGCACGTCCTGCGATGGTCCTCCCCTGTCCTCTTCAACCGC